AAATCATATTTGAAAAGTATTCAAATGCAAACATATGGTAAACATTTCGTTTGATTATCAAGTTTTTTTCAAAAGTTATATTGATTTGAAATTTTGACATAAGTTTGTTCTTATTTTATGAGGTATGGTCTAAAAAATAACATAGATACATGTACAGTTAATCAGAAACTCTAGCATCTCTTTAATATGACCTTCAAGGTACTTGTATGTTCAATGAGAATGGTTTTTAACAAAATAATTTCGCAACTGACCATGATAAGGTAATCTAATTAATGAGTTCCATTTTTATTGAAAAAGCAGCCGTCAATGATGCCAAAAAGCCTGGAAACTAATTTATCGAGGTAATTGGTTGAAATTAAATTTGAAAAAAAACATTAATTTTAATGTTTTCGATTTTGGTAAAATTTTGTTTTTTTCGCATTTTCTAAAAGTTCTTTAGATTTTTTAAAAACAATATTCACATATGATTTTCACTACACTCTTGATTATTACAACAATTAAACTTTGTTGTTCAGTACTCCTGAAGCTTCTCCTTCACTGCAGTTAATATTTTAGTGTGAAGTAAAGGAAAAGGAATCAAGTATAGGTATTGGAATTCTAATTCAATATGATTGTTAGAAATACTAAGAAAATATTTTACGTTAGAAAATCTGCTTTAAAAACTTGTTTGTTTTTTAAACTTAATATTCCAACAAAGGAATTGAAGCAGTAGGGATGTCAAAGATCAAGGCAAACACTGACGCCAAACATACAAAAACATAGGTAATGAGAAATTACAAAGCTCTTCTGAACAAAAATTTTAAAAGATTTTTCCTACATAGTTCGATGTAAAACATGGATTTCAAATTTTGACTCGCCCTACCACCAGGAATCAAGATTTGAACAATTTAGAATCTACATTTCCCAAAAATGCTTTCACATACGATTCAGCTTTTCTGGCCCAGCGGTTCTTGAGAAGAAGATTTTTATGTTTTTCCTATATATTTCTATGTAAAATTTGGATTCCTTATTGTGCCCCCTTTGGGTGTTATGATTTAAACAATTTAGAATACACACTTCCCCGGGATGCTTTCTCATAAGTTTCAGCTTTTCTGGCCAAGAAGTTCCTGATAAGAAGATTTAAAAAAAAAAAAAAACTTTTTCCCTATGTAGTTCGATGTAAAACTGGATCCCAAACTGTGGTCCGCTCTGCCACCGGGGTCATAATTTTATCAATTCATAATCTACACTACCCCAAGATGCTTCCACAAAAGTCTCCGCTTTTCTGGTTCAGTGTTTCTTGAGATGATTTTAAAAATGTTTCCCTTTATTTCTATGTAAATCTTGAATTACCCAATGTAGCTCCGCCCAACCCCCGGGGGTTATTATTTGAATAAATTACAATCTAAGCCACCCCAGGATGCTTCCTTATAAGTTTCAGCTTTTCTGAACCAGTGGTTCCTGAGAATAAATATTTTTAATGACCCACCCCAATTTATGTCTTTTCTTGATTATCTCCCCTTGTGAATTTAGTCCTTCATTTTGATAATTTTTATTTCCCTTTACTTAAGGATGTTTTGTACTAAGTTTGGTTAAAATTGGCCCAGTGGTGCTTGAGAAGAAGTCGAAAATGTGAAAAGCTTACAGACGGACGGACGATGGATAAATTGTGATCAGAAAAGTTCAATTGAGCATCGGCTCAGGTGAGCTAAAAAAACACAAAAAGAAGTAAAAATAAAGAACCTGAACAATACATTAAGTTTTTTTTATTTACTCAAGATTAGAATAAAATTAATTTAAGGGACAAATTAAATGAATATTTCTTGAAATTATATAATAGCCAAATTTATTACAAATTGTGTACTTATATTCAACATATGGTATACGATGAGTACATATGGCTAGTTATATATAACATTATCAAAACATTTCGACAAAAATTCAATAACACTAGATGATCTAAGTATATTTATAAATATACAATGGTTCAAGTTTCAATAAAAAAGAAGATATTTGCCATTAACCATAACAGAATCCTTGGAAACTGTCAAATGAATGAGCTGCATCTTCGTAATAGAATTAAAAAAATATACGATTATAATAATAAATCTTCGAACTCATTTAGAAGATTTATTCTAAAAATCTGCTTAAATTCCTTTGAAATTTTTTTTTGATTATATTTAACAAATATAAAAACATATCACACATCATATTAATATGTAGATAATCAGCACTTCAAGAAAAAACCTTGAGAGGCAACAGGCGATTACAGAAAATGTATCGATAAAGTGTTAATGAACATAACAAAATTTTGTTGCAACTCTTATTCTAAACATTTTTTTACCAAACAAATCGCGCATTACAATCAGAATTTTAAAACAAGAGGCCCATGAGTTAGCTGCAGATCTGTAGCTCTCTGGTTGAAAAAAATCGGATAGACAAACCAGAGAGCTACAGATCCAAGTGTTGTAAAAACCTTCGATTTACGCCGACGTTTTTTCGTCGCTCGCTTCGGGAATGATATCTGAATTTTTCAGCATTCAACTGCCTAAAGATTTATATGTATTAATTAAATATATTTTTTAACCCAACTCTGGTTACTTTATTTACCTTTTAATGGTTCCTAACGGCCATCCTTCGCATTGGAATGTCATTGTTTTGAAAAATTCGCCTCCTGACTGCCATCTTGACCTATTGGCGAGATCTCGGTATTTGGTCACGTGACAAAGGGGCATAACTCTAAATGGCGTTTCACGTGTTTACCTTCACAACAATCGGCATGCGATTTGATTTCGGACTCTATCTTAACAAATAAACACTGACAACTATTTTTTACAGTTTACTTATTTAGTTTAGACATTAATCGACAATATGAGCGCTTAATCAAACATACTTTCTGTTAACTTTATACTTCTATGCTTGTCAGAAAATTTATACACATGAGCTTTATTGTGTGATAGCAGAATTTATGACGTTTTGTACAATTATGACAAAACCATTTCGCACCAAAAAAAAAATCATGGCTGCTTTCAATGTGAAGAAGGTATTCGATGATAAGATTAAACCACGATTTCATTTTGAATTTGACCTCAAAGATGAACAAATATCAGTTATAGAGAGTGTTTTAGGTAAAAGGCATACTGTGGGTGTTTTCCCTACCGGCTTTGGAAAAAGTGTATGTTTTTTACTGCCTCCTGTAATTCTTGATCAGCAGCACCCAGCTTTAAGACATGTTTGCTTAGTTATTTCTCCCTTAAAAAGTCTGATGATAGATCAGTTCAAACATAATTTTGACCATGGTATTCCTGCTGCTGTCATTAAAGGCATGGATGAGATGAGTCAGGAGGTTATTGAAGGTATGACTTAATGTATCAGCTTTGCATAGAATGTACAGCTTGATTGAAAGAAATGAATCACTTATAATTTGAACTGAAAGAGTATATTAATATTCATATAGGCATAAAGAGGGGTGCATATTCAATTCTATATATGTCACCAGAGACCCTTCTGAATTTTGAGTCCTGGGGGGACATAATACTGAATTCCAGCTTGTACCGTGACAGAGTTGCATTGATTGCCATAGATGAGGCGCACATTTTGGAATCCTGGTAAGAGTTTTTGATTAAATTTTAAAAAATGGACAAGTTTTTTGATTTTTGTTAATTAACAAACATTTTATAGTTGAATGGTCTTCTCTTTACATGTAATTTGTTGGATCATTCTTGACATTTTCCCATTACATATCTAATGTTTCAACCAGAGAGCTACAGATCTGCAGTTAATGTCAAAAATATAACAAACACTCCAATGTTTTTAGAATATCTTACATTAAAAATACACAAATATGAGGTGAGAACATTTATCTATATGTTTAAGGGGTGATACTTTTCGACCAACATTTGCGAGGCTTGGAGAGCTTCGTTCACATTTCCCAAAGACTCCATTTCTTATGCTTACTGCAACCTGCACACCCCAGATTCTGAAGCACATAACCAAAGGAATCCATCTCCCTGGTCTTAAGATGTTCACTGCATCTCCTGACAGGTAAGTTTTCTTATGTGTAATGCGGCGAATGAACACAACTGAAAATTTTATGGCCATAATATTCTTTAACTTTAACACATGTTTTAAATCTTCTGCTATGATGTTCATGTTTAAATTTTTAAAATCAACAGACCTAACATTTACCTTGAGTACAAAAGGTCAAGAGATATTTTTGAAGAGCTTGGGTGGCTGTTTGATGACATAAGAGAAAATGGTATCAAAGCCAGAAAGACTTTAGTATATGTCAGGTAAAATATTAATGAATCCTATAAGAAGATGTATTATGATGGTCATTATTAAGATTGGGTTCATTCTTTAACTTACCGGTATGTTTTTAAACACATATATACTCTTCAAAATTGTAGGAGCTTGAGTCATGGTGGACGCCTTTACAGAGATGATTTTAAAAGAAGGTGCCTATTTTGAACGAAGAAAAGTGCAGCGCAACAGCCATATTGCCTTGTATCATGCTGGAATGGCTTCCAAGGACCTTGAGTACATACTGAATGAGATTTCTAAGCCAGAGAGTGTGATACGACTTGCAGTCTGCACCATCGCCTTTGGTATGGGGATCAATATCCCCGACATTGACCTTGTAATTTACTGGGGTGCATGTAATTCTGTAATGGACTATTGGCAAGAGGTGGGTAGGGCAGGGCGAGATGGACGCAAGGCCAAGGCCATGTATTTTGTGACCCCTGCATCATTACTTCATGCGTCAGATGAAATGAAAGAGTTATGTGAATCAATGGACAAGTGTAAGACAAAGTGTTTTAGGGACTCTATACTGTCCTATTTCATTGGTTACTCCTCCATATCACCATCATATTGTGAATTGAGCTGTGGGGAATGTGAGTGTTACCAGTGTAATTGTTGTTATCTGTGCAAAGAAGCTTGTCCGTGCAGAATGATGAAGGTCAAAGACAATTAAGAATCATTAACGAAGACAGATATACACATATATTCATTATATTTAATTAATTATAAAGAAATTCTTCATTTTCCAGTGCTTTAACATATTTGTTTAACCTTGCATTTAATTTTTCTGGATTTTTCACTGAAATGTTATGTTTGAAATCTTGAAACCCAGTGTGATGCCTTTCCTCTCCTTTGTCGACAAACAACTCTTCCACTCCATACTCTTCAATGAATTTCTTTAATTTTGCTTTTGAAGATCCGTCTGATGAGGACGCATGTGGAATGTAATCCTGGATGACATTCACCTGCAAGATATCCTCAAGGGCTTTCCCAACACTCCCAACAATCTTGCTGTATCTTGAGACCTGTGTTTCCGTGTATTGCCCAAGATTTTTACAAGATTTTAGATAAGAATTACTTCTTTTTTACAGGATGCCTACCCTTAAACTCATTATTAAGGAACTCATTGACCAGATCCAAGGCAATATTATGGCCTGGTTTCCCCAACAGATTTGCCATGCTGTTCCACATGACTTCACTTCTTATTCTTGCTGGTTACATTCCATTTACACCTGAAAGAGAATTTGAAAGTGTAAGACACAAATTTTAATTTTCTTTCAGTTAGTAAATGTCTTATTTCATGGTAACTAACAAATTTGTTTTAATAACTACCTGCTAGGAGTCTGTGGCCCAAAATGAGGTATTTGTTATGGTTGTAATTCCAGAAATTGACCATATCAAGCCTCCAGTCAGACATGAGTTGGTCCCCATTGTTGTGCCGTTCTGCATTTGTTTGTACCATGTGCAGGAGACCACGCCACAGCATGCTACAACTATACTTGAAAACGGAATCACCACTGTTTTGGTCCACAACTTCAGGTAAATCTGTAATCAGAAGTAAATCACTTTTAAGATCAAGAAAATTTTTGATACACATAATTTTTTTTTTATTTTTATGTGAAATGTTAATAAATGAATAATTTCTAAGTTTGAATCATACCAAACTCATCATCAGAATCTTCATCGTAGTAGGGCAAGGTCTCCTCCAACTCGTCTTGTGTCTGGTCATTCCAGTACAGGATGGTGTCATCTAGGTATTGACGGTCATCATCAGAGTCTGAGTCTTGTATGACATTACCCTCTGCAGCCTGCTGGATGGACTTCATATCTATATGTGGCCAGATGAGTCGGACAACACTTTTGCAGATGTCTTTGAACATTTCCTGTCTTTCGTTCTCATCCTCAGGTATAACATCAGAGTTCATGTCAATGTTATTAATGTCCAGAATGTTACATACAATCATGCAAACACTTCCTTCTGTTACGAAGTTGAAGAAATCCACAACCGAGTTCACACAGTCTGAGATTTTTTTCTTCACTGTTCGGAAGCCAAATCTGTTCTTGATATGGAACAAAGAACCCTTGTCCCCCACTGTGCTCCCACTAAACAACATGTTCATAGAATCCTGAAGAACTATGCACCTCTTATGGAATCCTTGTGGTCTTGGAATGAGACCAGTAAGCTGATCTGCTTCATCCTCACTGAAGGCCATTGACAGCTTTGCCTCTACCATTCTTTCCACACTTAACTGGTCTCCATGACAAAGGATTGGATATGGATGTCCATTCTGTCCAATTGGCACATACTTATGGAGATATTTTAATATTTCTAGAGTTCTGCGTGCCGTGGCAGGGTTCTCTTGAATCACGCCAAGATTAACCTAATGAAAAAAAGATTTATTGTAATCATGAAAGTCTGCAATAATATCTAGGCCAAGCTTAATAAAATCTTCGTTTGCAGTTCTAGACTAGGTAGGTAGGTAGGCATTTTTTTTTAAAATTAGTTTCAGATTTTTGTTACATAACCTAAAATAATTTTTTTCATAGGCCTACTATACATGAATAATATTTCTTTTGACATAATCTGTATCAAATCTAAACCAGATGCATATATAAACTTACAATCTCTGACTTGGTTTCAGAAATATCAGAGTACTGATGCTGGATAGTTGCTACATGGGCTTCACTGAACTGAGGGAAGTTTTTCTGCACAATACCCTGAACAACATACTCCATTCTTTTCTGTAGATTTCGCCAGTCCTGGGTGGATGGTAGGTAGTTCTGACAATTACACGTAATAATAAATAAATTTATGGAAGACATAAAAATTTCTACATCAGCTAATTCATGGAGACACATGATAAAAATACAATGCATGTTAATCAGCGACTTACCTCCAGCTGTATGTCTCTTAAAGAACATGTGCCATCAACATCATCCAGGTGACGAAGGATATCCTGTTCTTGGCTGCAAAACACAGGGCCCACAGCATCATTTTATTGTCCTGTCGAAGAGGATGTCGTGTCACGCTCAACTTCTGGACATTGTCCCAGCACACACTATAACCAGGGTCTGTTAATGGCAAGCCAAAAACTCAATGTATGACTCGATTTTAAGATGTAACCTAAATCACCTAACCTCTATACTTATTGTGCAAAAGTGTGTCAATGAACAGCTATCACTATTTTAAATGTCACAAAAAACAAGATGTGTTTGTGATGCTCTCACATGGCAGCTTATGTCAATAGGTTGAAGTTTCTCAAATGCAGCTCAAACTCCAAGTTCAAAATTGTTGTTATCAAAAAGAAAGTCTTGTCACAAGTAATACACCATAAATTATATACTCCCAAATCTTTGACTATGCATAAAAAATTATTATGAAATTGAATTAAACATATCTGCCACATACTCTGATTTCCATTTTCAATTTCATCATTTAGGGAAGTGTCATCTTGTGGAAGGGGAACAGCATCTACTTCTTCTTCACTACTCACTTCCACATCAGATGAATCCTGATTCTCTGAACTCTCTGAAATGAAGGAGTCATCCGAGTCTTCCGAGCTCTCCGAGTCCTCTACTGGTGACTGATGCTCATCGGGTTGGGGTCCTTGCAGTTCTACCTGTACATTTCAAAATGTGATGATGTGTTTAATTTGTAAAATTAATAAATATAATATTATAATAATTTTATTTGAAAATTACTTTTGATATTAGTAAATAGTTGGTTTTTCATATAAAAAAAAGGTTAACCTGGATCAATACTAATATATATATACCTGAATATCATTCTTCCAGGAGTTAATGCTGTCATCAAACTCAGTGCACAATTTGTCAACAGCTGTTCTTGTCCCCTTAAAACCCTTACACCAACCCAACTTTTGGAACCATCTAAAAATCTGTAATTGATATGTCGGATATAAAAATAAAATGCATGTTGTATAGTAACTATATTTAGTACTTAAGGTGGGAGGGAGATTAATTTGTTTATTTTTTTTCCTTCAAAATTTATTAATTATAAAACAATAACTAATTATATTGTAATACCTTTTGGTTGCATCCAGATCTGTACATTTCAACAGATATAACAGTCTGAAGAAGACTGTACTTCCTGGGATTGTGGAAATGCAAAATGGTACCCATAAGAAATCCTAGGGCTGGTACAAGGGAACCAACATAACCTTTGTCATCTCTGTAATGTTTTAGGCATTGGGGTATTACATGAGTTGTATATAATTCCACAAGTATAAAAAATAAGATATACTTTTTATCTTTAAAAACTAGCATCACAATCTAATGCTTTTGTAAAAAAAAAATCAGTAGTTTTATAAGATATATTTTCTTTCATTTGAGTATTTTTTATAGTACAATTTAGGTATTATTAAAATTGGCAGTCATGCTTTACCTTCTTTATTTTTGGTTTAAGCAACGTACAATTTATTTAACTTACATGTCAGCATTTTTGTTCCATCGACATGACAGTGATCCTTGCGAAAGTCCTGTCAAGAGAGGCATACTATAACTTGATTCTTGAATAACTTGCTGCCATTGAAACTCCTGTAAAGACTTCAAACTTGATGGAACCTTGAGGGATGGAATGCTTACATTTTTCACCTCCTTCTTAATCATGCGCCGTAGAGTATTCATCAATGCATCTTTTGCACGCTTGCTTTTCTTCATCAGAATTCTTAAGGCATAGTCATAATGTGAATCTTTGATGTACCTGCACACTTTGTCTTTGAACCCCTCTTTCTTGAAAGTTTTTGATTTCATAAATTTTACTGGGGTAGAAGTCAGACATTTTGGGGTAGACGTGAGACATTTGGGTGTAGAAGTCTGGCATTTTCTTTTACCAGGCTTCACAGGAGTGAAATTGAATTTTCTTTTTACATTTAGTTTTTCTGGTTTAACAGAGGTTTTCTTCTTCGTGTCATGTTTATAAATTTTGATTGTCAATGATGCACAGTCATTGCATAAAAAACTTTTGGGTTGGTGTTAAAGGAATCGTTAACTGTTTGTTTAAAATGTCATTGAGCTTGATTAAAGGTATTGGAAATTTTGAAATTGATTGTCTTTTAAAACCTTTGTTCTTAATTTCAAATGGCTGCTCACAATTTATGCACTTCTTTGGATCCATGACGGCATGGTCTTTCAATGATTGTGTATTACGTCATAGTAATATGCTTATCACATGAACAGCATCCGTATCTCACGTAGAAAAATTGTGTATAAATTTTCTGACAAGCCTAGAAGTATAAAGTTAACAGAAAGTATGTTTGATTAAGCGCTCATATTGTCGATTAATGTCTAAACTAAATAAGTAAACTGTAAAAAATAGTTGTCAGTGTTTATTTGTTAAGATAGAATCCGAAATCAAATCGCATGCCGATTGTTGTGAAGGTAAACACGTGAAACGCCATTTAGAGTTATGCCCCTTTGTCACGTGACCAAATACCGAGATCTCGCCAATAGGTCAAGATGGCAGTCAGGAGGCGAATTTTTCAAAACAATGACATTCCAATGCGAAGGATGGCCGTTAGGAACCATTAAAAGGTAAATAAAGTAACCAGAGTTGGGTTAAAAAATATATTTAATTAATACATATAAATCTTTAGGCGGTTGAATGCTGAAAAATTCAGATATCATTCCCGAAGCGAGCGACGAAAAAACGTCGGCGTAAATCGAAGGTTTTTACAACACTTGGATCTGTAGCTCTCTGGTTTGTCTATCCGATTTTTTTCAACCAGAGAGCTACAGATCTGCAGCTACCCATGAGTCACATCGCTCACCTGAGTAACTTTGGTGATGCAGTTCTTTACCAGATTTCCCCTCTTGCTATACCTATCGTTCCCCACTACCCTCTTCCCTTTTATGATTTTAATACTTTAGAAACTACACTACCCCAGAATGCTTCGACACAAGTTTCAGGTTTCCTGGCCCAGTGGTTCTTTAGAAGAAGATTCTAAAAAGATTTTTCCAAAATACAGTGTATATCTATATAAAACTTGGATTCCCTATTGTTGCCCTGCCCTACCTCCGGAGGTCATGATTTTAACAATTTAATATCTACGCTACCCAAGGATGCTTCCACACAAGTTTCAGCTTTCCTGGCCCAGTGGTTCTTGAGAAGAATATTTTTAAAGATTTGTTCTATATATTTCTATGTAAAACTTGGATTCCCTATTGTGGCCCTGTGCCCTACCCGGGGGTTATGATTTTATTAATTCAAATTCTGCCTTACCCCAGGATAATTCCACATAAGTTTCAGCTTTTCTGGCCCAGTGGTTCTTGAGAAGAAGATTTTTAAAGATTTGTTCTATATATTTCTATGTAAAATTTGGATTCCCTATTGTGGCCCTGCCCTACCCCCGGGGGTCATGATTTTAACAATTTAATATTTAGACTACCCAAGAATGCTTCCACATAAGTTTCAGCTTTCCTGTCCCAATGGTTCTTGAGAAGAAGATTATTTAATGATCCCACCCTATTTTTTGTCTTTTCTCGATTATCTCCCCTTGTTAGGGGACGTGGTCCTTCATTTTAATAATTTAAACTCCCCTTCACGCAAGGATGCTTTGTACCAAATTTGGTTAAAATTGGCCCATTGGTTCTTGAGAAGAAGTCGAACATGTGAAAAGTTTACAGACAGACAGACGGACGGACGACGGACAAAATGTGATCAGAAAAGCTCACTTGAGCCTTCAGCTCAGGTGAGCTAAAAAGTATCGAGACCATAATGAATCCATCATTATCTCAGTGAATGTCAAGAACAAACAGGCAAAAAAAAAATGTAAATATTGGCATTTTCTCATTAAGAGAAATTTTTAAATGATGGTGTTTATTATTACATTTGTGACTGATATTATTTAACATTTGCTGAATGATTTCAGAATGAGAGTGCAATATGCCAATGAGCAAAATTTACATGTTTATTGCATGATTTTTTGAAAAACTTGATAACGACACACAACGAATCCAGGCCGATCAAAACAACCTTTTTTCTAAAGCAATGTAAATGATAATGCTTATACATAAAACAATGTAACAAATCAAAATTATAAGACATATTACTAGAAAATAACACCAAGTTTATTTCAAATTAAATGAATCCATGATTATGTACTCAGTGAAGATAATTCTCAGTTATCCCCTCTTCAAATATATATTAAAGATACAAACAGAATATTTAAAAAACACTATGGATTATGCCAGGACATATACTTTTTTTTCAGTTTGATATTTTACAGTACACTATATGGAGCTACATATTTCTTAAAGAGTATTATCCCCAATATTTCTTGGTTTCCACTCAGACCCTTTAATCTCTCAAACCATAGCTTATTTAAAGCCGCTTGGTCTGATTCTTATCGAGAAAAAATATATTCGTTTTTCTTCTTGAAAAATAATAGTCCATGAATTGTTTCAACTTTTGTCAAATTATATCACCAAAGTCTTCTTCATTTAAAAGACGTATGCATCTGACTCAACATGTTGTTTTGTATCAGCCTGCACCTTTAGCTGGTACTCATATGACCACCCTACAAGATGCTGTCAGTGGTGTATGATACCCACTTTGTTCATTGAGTTCCTGAGCTACTTCTTTAAATCACTTTTTATTCGGGAAAACTTTATTTTCGTGTAATTACACGAGACAGTGTGCTCCAGAACATTTAAATCCCGCGTATAATAGCAATCCTTAAGATTATATAGAGCAATAACCACAATTCGTGAAAATTATGTCTCTCTAATCAAGAGCGATACAGATTTAGCAGATCCACTATTCTCAAACCTTCACCATCACATGCACATATTTCACTGATATCAGCTCCCGCTTCTATTAGCTCCTTCACTACACTCAAATAGGCACCGCTACATGCACTTGACAGTGGTTTATTAATATCACCTTGCTGATTGATAAGAGCTCCCGCTTCAATTAGCTCCTTCACTACACTCAAATGTCCATGAGAACATGCTGCTACCAGTGGTGATTCATGATCAAATTGTGGATTGATATCAGCCCCCGCTTCTAGTAGCTCCTTGACTACACTCATATGTCCACCGCTACATGCTATTGTCAGTGGTGAATAAAATAAATTGCTACCGTATTGTATGCCATATCCACCTTGTTGATTGATGTCAGCTCCGGCTTCTATTAGCTCCTTCACTACACTCATATGTCCACCCTCACATGCTGCTGTCAGTGGTGTATTATCTCCACCTTGCTGATTGATATCAGCTCCAGCTTCTATTAGCTCCTTTACTACACTCGTATGTCCACCCTCACATGCTGCTGTCAGCGGTGTATGAATCTCACCTTGTTGATTGATATCAGCTCCGGCTTCTAATAACTCCTTCACAACATTCATATATCCACCTCCACATGCAGCTATCAGTGGTGTAGAATACTCACATTGCTGATTGAAATTAGCTCCAGCTTCTAGTAGCTCATATGTCCACCCCTACATGCAGCAATCAGTGGAGTAAAATACATATGTTGTGGATTGATATCAGCTCCGGCTTCTATAAGCTCCTTCACTACACCCATATGTCCACCATAACATGCAGCTATCAGTGGTTTATCACACTTATCTTTAGGATTGATATCAGCTCCGGCTTCTATTAGCTCCTTCACTACACTCATATGTCCATCTTGACATGCTGCTGTCAGTGGTGTATGAACCGCACCTTTAGGATTGATATCAGCTCCGGCTTCTATAAGCTCCTTCACTACACTTATATGTCCACCATTACATGCTGCTGTCAGTGGTGTATTATACCCACCTTGCTGATTGATATCAGCTTTGGCTTCTAGTAGCTCCTTCACTTTACTCATATGTCCACCCTTACATGCTGCTGTCAGTGGTGTATTTCCTTGTTTGTTGTTTATCATACTTACCTTTAAGATTGATATTAGCTCCGGCTTCTATAAGGTCCTTCACTACACTCATATGTCCACCCTTACATGCGGCTATCAGTGGTGTATCATCTCCACCTTGCTTGTTGATATCAGCTCTGGCTTCTATAAGCTCATTCACAACACTTATATGTCCACCATTACATGCTGCTGTCAGTGGTGTATAAAGTTTAACTTGTTTTTGGATATGATCTATTAGCTCATCTCCAGCCTCAATTGCTGCTATCAGTGGTGTATCAAATTTACCTTGTTGATTGATATCGGCTCCAACCTCTATAAGCTTTTTCACTATACTTATATGCCCCTCTAAACATGCTGCTGTCAGTGGTGTATGAAACTTACCATGTTGATTGATCTTAGCTCCGGCTTCTATTAGCTCCTTCACTATACTCATATGTCCACCCTTACATGCTGCTGTCAGTGGTGTATCATAAAACAATTGTGGCATTTCCTTGTTTGTTGTTTGTATATAAACATACTTGACTAATACTCTTATAGTCTCTAAATTTCCACTGTAACAACTCAATAGAAATAAGCAGTTATGTTCAGAAACAAACTGTTTTTGATTTTTTGTATTACTAATGGAATTCGATAAAGATAATTTGTCTGTTTCATTATCTTTTTCAATGTTAATTCCTCTCTGTTTTCCTTCATTGATTGATTTGGAATTCCAAAATAGTTCAATCTCTGTTTCTTTGTGTAATTCAGTTTGTTTTAAAATATATTGTAGGATCTGATTGTGTCCGTAGTAAACCACCCAACTGATAACCCTCACACTGTATGTTTTTTCTTTATAATCACCCTTCTCACTCAACAACACACTCTGTCTATCCCTCTCCCAGTACCATTTTCCCGTCTTCTCACTCTCCTCACTCACACGCTCTTTTTTACTCACTACCTTAGACACATCTTTCTGTTCTGATAGAAATAGAGACTTTAACTCAGTGTAAGACTTTCTCTCTAACACCTCAATAAAAGCCTGACAAACTCTGGGATGTTTTAAAACATTATTCATAAAAACATCATACAGCTCCATATTTTCTATATCTCTGTACAAACGCTCTGCTAACATTGGATAGTGATCCTCTCTTAACCTAATACAGAGATTAATTGAATCCTGGCTTCTTTCACTACTTAATGTTTCATGCTCCTCACCACTAAATTCTTCATTCTCATCTTGTTTACATTCAACCTCTGACTCTTCTGTATCTTCCTGTACTTTCATCTTATAAGCAATGTAACTACTGCTAATATATTGCAAATCAAGATCTGGAAACTGACAACCAAAATGATATGCAAGGATTTCAAATACAGAGTCATGAATAATGGTGTACTCAGTACCACAGAGTTTTGTGTATGTCCCCTCCATAGCTGCCAATGCTTTAACAAATTTAAATGCATCCGTGTTGCTCTGAACTTCACAACATTCTAATACTTTTGATTTCATTTCCACGAAAACGTCGTTTTCGGTGTTTTGTAATATTTCTTTTGATAGTTTATTGTCATTTAACATGCACAAGACCAATGTAGCATAGCATAAACTATTTAGCATTTGCATTTTATCAAATTGTCCTAAAATACATTCAGCTGGACAGGTAAAGAACCTTCTTGCATCGTTTCTAAACTCTTCTTTTGAATATAGTTTACACAACAGAGGAAACATACCCAATGTTCCTCCCAGTAATGTAGGGGACAACAAATCTCTATCCAAGCCGTGTTTCTAAAGGATCGCTTTCTTATCTTCATCGTTCAATGCATTTTCGGAACTATGCATCTTAACTATGTTTTTTTCATTTGAGAAAAATGATTTTTAACATTCATTAAACACTGCTTCCCTACATGACATTAATACCTTTGTATTTCTATTGGGCGGATCTGAAATTCTTCTTTTATAGTCTATCAATGACTCTAACTTTTGTTTTTGCAGACCTAAAACACCTACCACATCATCAATGACAAAAACCTGTGGATGACGAGAGTCAGAATAATCTTCAATCTTCCTGATATCTATAATAGGTACAACCTCGTACTCTTCCTTCTGGAGTATCAAGGCTATGTGATGAATCGTTGCCGATTTTCCAGATCCTGGGACACCAACAAATGTCATGTAAGGTTGACTTCTGACTTGATCCAACATTGCAGGGAAACCGTGGCTTTCACTGTAAACCCCATCCTCCTCTTTCCATAGTATGACATCTTTTTCAAAAACATCTATAAAGAATTGTTACGGCAAGATATTTCATAATTTTCTTATCTTGTCAGTTATATAATTACTCGCATTTCATAGTAATTAAACGTTTTACACATGAAAAATAAGCTAATGCCTAATAAAGTATGGTGTACATGCTCGTGGTTATTATAAAGATAAGTTTTCAGGATTAAATTTGAAGAATTGCTGTAATTTATGGATTTCTGTAGAAATTTAAAAGTTTTTAGATTTGAAAATCAATTATGATTTAACCATAAATTATATTGTCACCTTAATTTTCAAAACTTTCTTATTTTAATTGATAAAGCCGATTTACATGTTGAAAATATCCATATTTTCATTAACCCCTGCTTTCACCTACCGCTAAATTATATCTTTAAAGAAATTTTCAAAATTTGATATATTTTTTTTAAATGTTTTTTTATTGTGAAAATACACATATAGAAAAGCATTCAAATTAACATGAAATAAAATAATGGGATTCCTGATTTTGTTAAACATTAAAAATAATTTAAAATACATCTACCTTGTATCATTTTATAAGTGCATTGATATTGAAACTTCTAATAAAAAACAAGATTGTAAAAAGGTAGATTACAAAAATACATTATTAAAATATAAAAAAAAAAGATAAATTTAATTATCCCACCTAAGATATTAAAATTAAAATTACTGATTGAAATTCACTTCTTTCTTAATTAATTTTTTTAGATGAAATTTAAGAACATATGATTGACATACTGACATCCAAATTATCTGAAACCGAATGTATATATGGTGAAAACTTTTAATTCAAAATTTTAGAAACATTTTCTCCTATATTGAATATTTTCATAATTGATTAAAATTGCAACACAAGTACAGTAATATTTTGTTCTAAAACTTGGGATTTACAAAATTTTTGAAGTTTTTCATATTTAAGTCTTATTTTGCAAACCAGCTTATATTGACAAATAATGATGTTTCATTAGAACACACAAAAGGTTTACAAGATTTTTTTTCCATTCTCAGGTGAAAATTTTGTGTTCATTTGGAGCTCCCACTACCATTTGTCGGTGGAGGGTTTTATTTTAAAGTAAAAGTCTTACAAGACATTTTTGACAATGGACTTATTTTATCATTGATCTTAAGATCAAGGAATCTGTATTGATTAAAGCTTTTTTCATGCCAATGATATGGAATGGCATTCCTTAAGCAAAAGGGATCAAAAAAGATACATTTTTCATACTGTCTCATAATATCAGCATGAGTAAAAAATTTAATTATTACCTAACCGAGATATCTCTAATATATAAGATTCCTTTTGTGTACTATTTTTTCCAAAACATTATTATTGATTTTAAGAACTTGAATTTGCTTCTTTAAAAATTTATTGGTTCAATAGACAAATCATTATAATTTCATCCCTGGCAAAAGAAAAAAAATTGTGGTAATGTTAAATATTATATAGCCTATGTCAAAAAATAATTATAAAATCATACATATAAAATAAGCACTTGGAATAAGATTGAAGCCTTACATCTTGCATTATTAAAAATCCTTATATATCAACCTAGTTTTAATGATTTCCCAAAATAAATTTTCATCCCATTCTTTTAATTTTTTGGCAAGATACTGAACTTTTAACCTTTGGTTTTTCAATTCCATATGAACTTAAAGACTTTAGACGAATATCATTTGGAGTGAGAGCTTTATACTATTTTAGAAATTGCTAAAGTTCAGAAACACTAAAATTTTGCCAATAAGTGTTAAGTTCCTCATTTTCCATAAATTCAAAGTTGCTTTTAATTCATCTAATTTTGTGTTTAAGTTTTTTGAGAGATCTTTTTGTTCCCCACTTGAACTAAACCAAATTCCAAGTTTAAAAAATTCACCTTTTGACCATTTTACTGGCAAGATTCCTGGTTTGAAATTTTTATTCAAAAAATCAAGAAAAAATCTAATCTTGACAAAATAATTGGATTTTTTCACAAAAATGTAAATAGTTTTCTGTTCGGATTTTTTTCTCTTCAAATATCAATTAAATTTAGGTCTTTCATGAGCAATTATATTATCCCTGTATTTGATTTCCCTTCAAATTTCCAGCCCTGTTTAACTATGGTAGGATTTTAGGTAATATAAATTTTTATAATAAAATTTTTATCACTCTCTTCATCTAAATGAATCAACAAAAATTCTAAAAATTCAACTTGTTCAAATGAGTTATCTTTTGTGTGAGCATTTAATTTATTATAAATTATATATATTAAAATATATATATATATATATATATATATATATTTATTATATTTATATATATTATATGGAAATAAAATAGCTACTCCTTTCATTCGATTCTCAATGACAAAAAAAGGATAAGTTTTCCATGTTTGTTATTTGAATGTGTTTTATGTAAATAAATATTAGGATTTTTTTTCTTTAATCCATGCAAACAAATCCTTCAAGTACCCCCTCACATTCAGAGATAAAAGATATATTTTGACAATTAAGTTTCATTTTGTTGTAGTACACCAACAAAATTCATGAAAAGAATTAAAATTGTCTATATTTTGTGTTTGCAAGTAAACATTGAAATCTTTTTTTTAAAACAGGTTTATAACAAAAACACAAAATGATACAGCGTATATACACAAAGGGGTAGTTCATTTTATATAACCTTATGTTTTAACCCAAATTGTGATTGTCCTCTCGAATCGGGTTCAATGCCGGAAATTAAAAGCATTGACAAATTTTATACTCAAAACACAACGGATCTGAAAATTCCGTATTGTTAAATATTAGAAATGGAAATGAAAATTTACTCAATTCTTGATTTAGACATTAATTTTAGATATATAATTAATGTTTAATAAATAATAATAATAAAAATAATAATAATCATTGATGAAAAAAACACCAAAAAAAAAGAAAAACTTTGTTAGTATTTGATGGAAATAAATACAATATATTACAAATACTGACCATGTTAACCGTGTTAACTATTAATATTTATGAAAATTATTCAATCTTTTATTTTGTGGTAAAACTCAATCTTTGCAAAGCTATTTGAAACTTCATTATGTTTCCCATAGAATTTTTTTTCCAAATACAGTTCAGATATAATCTTAACAAATATGAAACAAATAAATAAGTCATTTCAATCAAAGGCAAACTAAAATTGTATGATTTTATTTCCAACTGATGGCCATGAAAATTTTTGTAACACATTTTTTGGGATTTTGGTCAGGCTGTGAAACATTCACAAGCAATCAAATTGAGAAAGATTTTCATTGGGAAAATTTTAACATTTAAACTTGCATTGTGGCACATACTACACTTATAACAATAAATCTGAATGTGTTACTGCATTTCACAATAAATTAACAATATTTAATTTACATGATCATTATTTCTGAATATTTCAGTTTTCCGCGTTTATTGGTCGTTTTTCCACATTTGTAATAGAGTCTAAAGTGATCCATGGATTTTTATTCTTCTCTTTTCATAAATTTTTTCTATATCACTTGAATTTGAAAGCTGACCATTCTTAGAGGTTTTAAGTTACACCTTTAATTTAGGAAGTGCTAAAAAAGCAACTTTTATGAGATTCATTGGAACAAGTTAAGTTTCTCTTTATTTAAATGTTAATATATTGTGATTAATACAATTCAATGAAAGAATAATGACTCTTAAAAAAATCTTGAGAATCTGAAATTTATTCCTCGTTCATTTTATAAGTGTTTGGTACTGAAACTTCTGTTAGGAATCAATATTGTTCTGAAGATAACACATAAAGTTATCGGCATTCAGTTTAACAAAAAGAGGTAAATTAAGTACAATACATTGTTATAATAAAATTAATTTATCCCACCTCTAATCTGATCTGATGTTTGATCTCCTCTTATTTTGTATTGTTTTACTTAATTTTTTCATAAGTTTTTCATAATTGATTAAAATTACATATTTTGGGGGACAATTTTTTATATTTAAACTTTTCAAACCAGCGAAAAATAACGTTTGTTGTTTAATGTCTCTCTTATAATATACAATCAATCAATATACAAGAGCAAAAAAGATACATTTTATAATTTCTTATTTCTTGCACAATTCTGAAGGAAAGGAATATATGAATTCTTCTTATTATGTATTTCATAAAGTCCTTCAAGCGTATTGATACTTAAACGTTTTAAATTAAGATTCAGATTCTGAACCATTTTAAAATAATTTGTCAATCCTATTGACACCATGGGAATATAAAACAGAATGTATATACAATATGTTGTTTTAATTGAAACAAGTCAAGGTTAATTAATTTTTTGTAAAATTTGCCAATTATTATTTTAGAATTAAATAACAAACCTTTGACATTTGGAGGGATTACAGAATTTGGTTTTCTTATTTCATCTGAAAAAATAATAAAAAAGAAGACTTTTTAGGTGGCATACTGTGTATTTATGAAAATTATTCTCTTTTTTTGTGGTAAAACTCAATCTTTGCAAAGCTAGACTTCATTATTTTTTTTTCCAAATACAGTAAGATATAATCTTAACAAATATAAAACAAATAAATAAGTCATTTCAATCAAAGGCAAACTCATTGTATGATTTTATTTCCAACTAATGGCCAAAAAATACTTCAACAGATTTTTTAGGGATTTTGGTCATCGTCCACATTCACAAGCAATCAAATTGATAAAGATTTTCATTGGGCATTTTAACACTTAAACTTGCAGTGTGGAACATACTACACTTATAACAATAAATCTGAATGTGTTACTGCATTTCACAATAAATTAACAATATTTAATTTACATGATATTATTTCGATATTTCTTTGTTTATTGGCGTTTTTCCACATTTGTAATAGAGTCTTAGTATCCATGGATTTTTATTCTTTCTTTCATAAACTATACACTTGTATCAGATAGCTGACCATTCTTAGAGTTAAGTTACACCTTTAATAAAGCTAAAAGCAAGCAACACATGCATTCATTGGAACACGTTAAGTTTCTCTATTTGGGCTTTGTGATTAATACTCTATAAGAATGACTCTAAAAATCTGGAATTTCTAGTGGGATATTTAAATTTTATAATGCATTCTGTTTTTAGATATGTAATGAATTTGGTCTTTCTGCTTTCCTTCATACAAGTTTTTTTATTGCTGTAAGCAGCACCATATGGAATCATTGTTGTGTTTTAAATTTCCTTACCAGCCAATCAAATTCGAGTATTTTCAATAGAGGTATAATTATCTCTATTTTTAACCAAAGTTTTGGGCGACTGTGGAAAAAGAACTCGCTACTAAGCTCTAATTTCTTACAGAAGTGAAAATAAATTAGCTTGCATAGGCTTCGGAACCGGGGGGGGGGGGCTTAGAGCCCTCCCCTTTTTTTTCCCAAAAATATACTTAGTATAGACATAGCCCACCCCCACTATTTTTTTCCAAATATATACTTGCTATAGGCATTGAAGATATCTTCGTAGGTATAGCCCCCTCACTTACCAGATTTTTTTTTTATAGCCCCCCCCCCCCCCCCCCCAATTTGCTTCCGACGCCAATGAACTTGTCAGAATAATCCAGCCCCCTTTGATCTGATAGCACCCAACAAGCAAGCAGCTTTGAAACGGTCGGCCAATGAGGGCAATGCTTTATGCTGATGAAAATGAAGGGCAAAAAATTAAGGTTATTGAATTTAACTTCTTTAAACAAAAGCGTTATAGAAGATAGTTTTTTATCATGTTTACCCGATCCTTTCCTGGTCTTCATTTCACTTTTCATTTATTTGAGCAAACACTCACAGCATTATATTAAGGTCTAATGACATGTTCCCAAAATATATTTTTCCCCAAATATTGCTTTTAAAAAAGTTTCCGTGAAAACAAGAGGGACCTTACCAGGATATAGACTTAAGATACCAGAGAATCTTTTTAATCGATTATCATGCTAATGCGAGATTTCTTGGTCAGGATTAAAACAAATTTGAATTGGCTCTACACATTGGAATGATTGCCTATTAGGCAAACTCCTAAGTACCACAAAATAAATTTCTAAAAATTGCACATAAACCTTTTACATTAAAGTGGAAGCTTTTATTTTTTTTTGTTCATAATGAAGAAAGATTACTTTGATATATTAGCTTTTAATTTATTAATTTATTCATTATTCAATCTCGTTTTTACACAAGATTATCAAAACAAATTTGCAATTGCTGTTAAACAGAGAACAATAGACAAACATACGCTTACTGTGTATAAAGTCGTTAGACTAGTTTATCATCCTTTTTAGCTTCTTTAAAGATGTGACTAAATCGAAGAATGGTTAGCTATTTATACGCTATTAGCATATACAGTATTTCATGCAGAAAATCTAGCATGATAATTCATACATGCACATCACACATAGTATGTCTGTAATAGAGTCTTTCAATCAAAGAAAATATCATTCCCAACCCTCAAATAGATACACTAAAGTTGAAATTATTTCAAATAATTATGCATCATTATTTATTTTATACGTGTTAAAGTGTTAACACCAATTGTCACTCTACACGATTGGTTGTGGAAACCTGATTCCGGTGTTTTTTCATAATATTAGAATATCAGTTTGTGTGGAATCTGAATATCATACAATTTTAAAGAACAGTGTAATGAGCTCATAAATATGTATCAATGTTACAATGGTACTTACCAACAATTTTCAGTATTTTATTGTGATTCTCATTTCTCTCAGTTTCATTCTCTTCCAATTTTCCTGGAAGGAAAAACATATTTTAAGTAAGCATTAAGTGCAGATACAAATATGAACAGTATTAAGCTTTATTTCATATGTTAAATGTCAAACTTCGTCGTCTTAATTACGTTTCAGTCCTTGAATCATTTTTTTAGTTTCTGCATCTTCTTCAGCCTGTTTCCTCAGTTCTTCTATGTAATGGCAGTCACGGACAGGGTCCATTGTCTCATGTCTCAAAAAGTCCACCTCTCTTTCAAACTGGTTCCCATTGCTAAGGAAAGAATCAAGGTCCACAACTGCTGATCTGACAGTGGACCAGATCCTGTTGAAATCAGCGTTGGAAAGGACAGGACTAGAAGAATGTACACACTGATTTCTGGCAATACGGATTCTCTCAATGTTGGCAGAGAGAGATCGATCTGTGGGGTCTGGATCATATCCCCAGCGATTGCTGTGTGGTGGTATACCACAAATGTTTCTGAGTAGTATGTACAATAAGGAAATGTCCATATCATCATAGTTTCCTGGATAACTACTACCTCTGGGTAAAATAAGATTCATCTGTTGAGCTGTCAGACGGGGGAGATCACTCCTCTTTCGTTTGATGACGTGTGGAAATGTTGACGCTGGTACATAATGACGTAAAACATCACGTAACTCATCTGTACATGGACCCAGGAGAAGTCGACAGGCTCTACAGGCATTTGTCGTCTCCTCTGTAGACGCGTAAGAGGAAGAGGCCATAGTAATCTTCTAATGCTTTTCTGAAATGAAACAAACAATCGAAAAATTTGATAATTAACAAACAAATTAGAACTATCTTAGTAAAACTACACATTGCTCATGCACTAAGGCAACTAGTAAAATTGCTTAAATTAAAATACTCTTCACTGATTTCAGCCTGTTTGCTAGAGTACCATACTGCAAATTTACTGACTTGCTAGAATGTTATGTATGTATATTTTTTTATGTCTTTTGTTTAGTAGAAAAGATAAGACTACATCAATTCAAGAATTAAAATAATTTGTCCAAATGAACATTTAACTTTGTAGTTGCGTTACTTTATGTACACAGTGACAAACCCGCATACCATATGACATGTGACCTAAAAATACTTCCTCAATAACAAAAGATTTATAAAATTAACAATATTTTTACTCGGTGATTTGATCTAATGACCTAAAGTAAGGGTCCTATGATATCCTAGGAACAAAAAGAATCACTACAGGTTGTTGTACAAGTATGATCTTCTAAAGTTATTGCACCATTAAATTATGGAAACTCTGATCACGAAGTTTTGTGTCAGATATTCTTATTTTTTGCTACGTCAAAGTTATGACCAAAGCAAGAATTTCCTCGTGCATTTGTATTTTTTTATTATTATTTCTAAATTACCTTAGGTAGGTTTCAGATCATTTATTCATTGCAGTCGTGTCTTCAGTAAATATGTTTTCCTAGATCTTGTAGTTATTGATAGATAGAATTTAATGATATTTAACCCGGTAACATTGACAAAGATTACCATAGAGTCAATCTAATCAAAATTATATGTTAGATCCGCTCGCATACTCGCTATGCTAACATCGTTAGTGTAGCGAGTATGCGAGCTGATCTAACATCTAATTTTAATTAGGTTGACATAGAGTTGGCTTAGGGCACACTTTTGCCTGTCAAAGAAGTTATGTACAAAGCATCCTTTACAAGCATAATGACAAATCATCATTTTTATTTTCATAAATAGGTCATTATTTTTATTTTCACTTTCTAATTCTGAAAATACCAATTGAATTGATGTTTCCCAAGTTTTCCTTCCATTTTAAACTGGGTCCGGGATCCGTAAAATCTGAAAAATTAATGATTTTTTTTATTAGGAAAATCATCATACTATATACAGGTTAGGCACCCCCCAAATGGTCATTTAGCCCCCGTTTGGTGGTCAATCGCCCAAATCGGCGTCTTTTTTACCTACCAAATGGTGGTCTTTTTTAAATCCTTTTTTTTTATTAAAATAAAGCAAAAGCGCATTTTCTCAGGCATTGGGGAATTTAATTAACATATTCATCGCCCATTTAATATAATTTAGTCAATTTTCCATGTGGAATTTCTTTGGAACTTCGTAATAACGAAACCCATAATTGTTCGTGACGTCGGAACTATTTGCTCAAACATTACGAAAAATTATTTTGTTCGGTAAAAAATATATTTAAACAAGAGATGTTAGTCTAGAGAAGTAACTTTATAAATAATCTTTCAATCTGCGTCCATATAAACCTCCATATAAATCCCGTTAAACACGAGCTCCTCGTATCTTATTTGTATGGTGGGCACTTATTGCTATAATATTCATTTTTTCCTACATTTGAATGTAACATTTATTCTTTATTTTCTTTTAGGATGAAGTTACGATTTCTGTGCGACCCTTTGTGGTTTAGTATGCATATCTATGATGTATCTACTATATTTATTAAATATTTTTGAATAAAAAATTTACAAAGTGACGTTTTGCCATTATTCTTGTTTTTATTCCAAGATTATTGTTTTGGAGCGATTATTTTTTCATGAAGTCACTGCATATCGTATTTTTGTAAAAGATAAAGCCATTGCATACGAAATGAAAGCGAATTCTTACCCTTCCCCTAATTTTACTTGATGAAAATTAACACTAAACTACGCGCGAGATGGAGGGAATTTTTCTTTTTTTAAGTTAAAACACAGAAACGTTACACTTGTTTACATAGGTGACGATTTTGTCAAATATTTGAACGTCACTGTGCAAAAATGCCCGCGTTGAAATTCTGAATTTTTTTTGTTCAAAGTTTAGAAAAATATCTATATTTTATTCCCCGTGAGTTGAAATTATGCGCCATTTCACGTCATTCCAGAGAACTGAACAAAACGATTTTTCTCTCCCATTTGGTGGTTAATAAAGACGCCGATATGGGCGATTGACCACCAAACGGGGGTTAAATGACCATTTGGGAGTGTTTGCCCAACCTGATATAAGAATGTTTCCAGTAAATGAACATGAGAGAATTTCTAAAATAGTTGTTTAACAATAGATAGTAAAACTATTGTTAATCGATCATATTAACTGCTTGTTGTCAGCGATTTTCAAAATTTGAAGAAATTTAGATCCTCCAGTCGTGAATCACCATTGTTTAGATCCACCATGAAATGTTATTAATTCTTTACAGGAAGACAGTCTCTCTCTAATTAAATGGTTTTCAAATAATAAAATGAAGGCAAATCCTGAAAAATTCCAAGCAATTGCAATAGGGGCTAAAACACAAAAACAACAAATCTCTTTTGACCTGGAAAATGTTATCATCAAATGTGAAGATGAAGTTAAACTTTTAGGAATTACAATTGATTTTAAACTAAATTTTAACACTCATATTTCAGAGATATGTAAGAAGGCGGCGAGACAACTAAATGTTTTGAAACGGATTGGGAAATATCTGAATAGATTGGGAAAGCTTACTATATACCATAGTTTTATCATGTCAAATTTTAGTTATTGCCCCCTGACTTGGCACTTCTGTAGTGAGAAAAATACTCAAAAAATCGAGAAAATTCAGTTAAGAGCGCTGCGCTTTATTTATAATGATTATGAAAGCTCATATGAACAACTACTGGAAAGGTCCAAATTGCCCGCCCTAAAAATCAGAAGAATGAGATTACTGGCATTGGAAACATTTAAAATCATTAATAAAAAGAGCCCACTCTTTCTTCAAGATCTGGTCAAAGTTAAAGAAAACTCATAGAATTTTAGGCATTCTAAAGCCGCAGATATTCCCAGACCCAAAACTACGAGGTATGGAAAAGGTTCTTTCAGATATGAGGCAGCAAGGACATGGAATACACTTCCCAATGATATCCGAAATACCACATCATTTAATTTATTCAAGAACTACATATCTACCTGGTGTGGATATCAAAAATGTAACTATAGTGTATGTTAATACCAGTCCATGCTGCCTTTGTCTGAGAAGCCTTCCTAAATGTTTCTTTTGCAATCATCTAAACTTTTTGTGTGTGTATGCTTCAGGTTTTTTGGTTTCTTTTTTCTATTTTTTTTCTCTTCTGTTATTATTATTATGTTCTGTGATGTCCTTATATGTGCAAAGCACTGAATAGTTGCATGCTTTTTATGTTGCTTTCCTTGTTGTTAAACTTTCATTTCTGTCAGAGTTTGTAAATGTTATGTACTGTACTGCGCTTTATGGATGTTCTTACTTTTAACAGTCATATATTATTTATTCTTCTCAATTATTACTTTAATCAGCATGATTAGTGCTTATTTTAAAAGACTGTGATATCCATCCGTGTGCAAAACAATATATGCTGCTTCTTCTTTTTTTTTATTTTATTCTTTGTAAAAGGTGCTCCTTTACCAAACTGATATGTTTGCTGCAGGCCTGCAGCAAGTCTACAGCAAGCTTGCAGCAAACAAAAATGTTCGCAGGAAGAAAATTTTCTTGTTCGCAGATGATTGCCGCTAGCTGCGATCTTTCGGCAAACATTGCAGCAATTGCTGCAAGCTTGCAGCAAATTCGCAGGAACCCAACGTGTTTGCAGGAACATTGCAAGAAACATGCACGCCAATTTAATGTTCGCAGCAAGTTTGCAGGAAATTTCACTATTCAAATGTTTGCAGGAAGTTCGCAAGAACAGGAAACAAGTCAAATCAGCCAATGAAACGCAGATTGTACTGGGTCAACACAAAACTGGCCATTTTGAAATGTTGGAATTGAAGTTGTACACGTTTCAGTATTTTGTTAGGAATATACGAGGGTTGATCCAAAAGTAATGTCACAACTTCGATAAAATTTCTCCTAGTCGACGTAAATTAACAAAATTTTACATGATGAAAGCTATATTTATTTTAAATCAGTCCTGAAAAAATCAAATTAAAATTGTATATACTTTTCAAAATATCGACTTAAACACAAAGTGCGTTTATGGTAGTCGCCGCACCTAAATAACGTCATAAAACGGATATGCGCCGTCAGACACTCTTAAAAACGCCTTCCCATCGTTTTATTAAAACAATTTGATATTCACAAAACATTCACATATTTTTTTTTTCTTTAAGAACAATTGGCACATATTGTACACTTTATCTATAATTTAATCCTTCGTCAAAATTCTTTGAACAATACCATAAGACAAACTTAAAAGTGTCTCATGTCACTCAAACTGCCATTAATCTCTTTTAAGACAACGTCGACGCCATTGAAAGTTTCCACCCGACCTCCTATCTTTCGGTACATTTCTGTCCCCAAATGATCATTTATTTACCTATTACCTGCCCAAAATCTCTGAAATCATCTATGAACAAGTCTCTCGTTAACAATCTTTCCTCCGCGATTTTGATTTACCATCATAACTGTTTCTACTTGTGATTTCCCGATTTTGAAGGAAAAATACATAACAAATCGTTTCGGTGTTTTATTCCATTTCGACATTTCATTTCTGAAATACATCAGATATAAACAATACTGTTTATGATGAAAAAAAAAAACAATGCTGCCATTTAATTTTAAACTAAAGATTAGAAAATGTCGTAAATTTTGTCTTTTAAAATATTAGACGATTAGACGATTTTTAGATGCTTTTTTAAATGTGTTTGTCTTTTTTTATTCTAACAATATTAACTTTAAAACGTGACCTTTAGTTGTGATGCGGCGACACCCCCTACGTTTAATGTTTTAAACATCCATAAAATGAATTCAATTGAATATTATTCAATGAAATTTTCAATTTTGATTAGATTTGTGTTTATGCATCTTTTGGTGCATTATATTTGATAATATGACGCCAAATATTAAAGATATGGACACAGTGACATTACTTTTGGATCAACCCTCGTACATCGTTTTGAATGATTAAAAGTGCCAAACTCTGGATGTTCATTCTATCAATGATATCTAATTGGTAAGAAATGATTTTGATTTATTTTGATATTTGAAAGAATATTTCTTAAAAGCACGTTTGAGTAACTGGTGTAAATGCTAGGTCAAATCTAAATCAGCTTCTTATGAATTCAGTCCTCTTTTTGATATTACATATGTATAATTCTTAAAAGTATTGATGGACCCAAATCAGTTAAATGTTATCAAATTAATTAGTAAATTTGGATCACAAAAACATTCATTAAAAATTATATATAAAATTCTTAAAGTTCTGTTTATATAAAAAGCTATCATGCACTTTAATTTTAAAAAGGTGTGAAAACTTTGTCTAGGAACGTAAAGAGGGCCTATCATAACTTCATAAAGCTGCATCATTTCAGAAACATGTGGTGGATTTTCTCTAAACTTAACAGATTGAGGTCAGGACAAAGGCTTTCTGTGAACTTGCTGCTAATATTTGCAGGAAGGCAATATTTTCTGTAAGGGCTAGTATATGTGATTTTTGTTTTCTTTAGCCTTAAAGTGTAATTTTAAATGGCTTCATTTAAATTATCTTTTGTTTTACTAACAATGTATATTTTTACTAATTTTTATCCTTGTGTAAATATGTTAAAGTCGGTTAAAGAGCTTACCAGAGCTCATGTTATTTCTGTTGAATTGTATATATATGCCGACTATAAATAAAAATTATTTGACTTGACTTGACTTGATTGTTTTCCTAAAACGAAAGTAGACTTTAAAACAATATATAATTTCGATTAGCATTGTTATTGGACCTTATCTTATCCCTAACGTCATTTTGAACCCTTTTGCTGGCAGTTTATTTGCAAATTTATGAAAATATGTAAGCATTAAATGTGTCTGTACCTTCAAATGCCTGTGCAGGAAAACGAAAGTTCGCCACTATGGGCATTATTTAAATTTATTTGTTTTTCTGACACTTAAAATCTTACTTGATATTCTTTAAAGCTCTACCTTTTTCAAATGATGAAATGAATATATTGGTAGCCTATATTCCGAGATTAAATCCTACGACATATCTACTAGAGGTTCATTTTACTTCTATGGGATTTCCACTTTTTAATGCAAGATCGTAGCGGTTGCCAGTGATTTCGGCTCTCGAACAATTCACCATTTCTTTATATTAATATCAACCCCTTATTAACAAATCTACTTTTGTATTCGCATGAGGCAGAACTTTTGCAAAATCCTATGCGTGAAAAGAAGAAAGCACTTGCTGTTGCCTTCAACTCGACATTTAGATATATCGATGTATTGTCAATTAACAATTGTAATTTCCATTTTTTTTGTCAATGTTGGTGATCCTGGTGAGCTTGAAATAAAAAATACCACAGAGTCTGACACATCTGTTTCATACTTGGATATTTTACTTGAAAAAGACGTTAATGGTAATCTAACAACCAAGCTGTATGATAAACGCGATCACTTTAACTTTCCTATCGTCAATGTCCCTTACTTATGCAGCAATATACCTTTATCACCTGCATACGGTGTCTGTATATCTCACTTAATTTTATACGCAAAGGCATGTTCTACGTATGGACAATTTCTAGTTTCTGGTAAAATTCAAGCAAACATCTACTTTCATATCCGATGTATACTTGCACATTTACCTCAATGTTACTAGGATGATTCATTGAACATCCAACGTTTAAAAATAACATGCTGTTTTTATTGTCAACCATTTTTCTTCCTAGGTAACACGTTTGGATTGATTTCTGAAATAAAGAATCAATTTCAAACATTATTATATATTTACATTTCCAATAAATTTCCCCTATGATTCTTTACAAAATAAAATGCAGTATATTTTCTCATGAACTACATTAGGTATGTATCACCAATAAGCATGAATATCTCCATTGTTACGTCATAATACCGCTCTTTACGTCAAAAAGTCAAAAATATAGTGCAAACTGTTCTGTTTTAAAAATGACAGTTGAACGGCGTAAATTTATGTCAAGCCATCAGAAAAATAATGTAAATATAAGAAATGAATTTAATTTTTTGAGGATTCATGAGGTATTACAACGCCTCACGCCGGCACATTTATCATGAAGCGTTAACGCGCTTCATGAAATATGCTTGCGTGAAGCGTCGAAGTTCATAACCTCATGAATCTTCAAAAATTAAATTCATTTCTTAATTAATACTTAAAGGAACTTGGACACAGTTTCAGTTTTAAAAAAAAATAAAGTTTAATTTTTTCATTTTGTATGCTTACAAATACTTTACTAAGGTATTTCGTATGATCATCCAAAATTAAATTCCAGTTGTTGGGGTACAGAAGAGATTTAGATAATGGTAATTTCCATTCCAACGTCGATACAGGTTAGGAGAGCTTGAGATTAAAGATACCAAAGAGTCTGACACATCTGTTTCATACTTGGATATTTTACTTGAAGAAGACGTTATTGGTAATTTAACAACCGAGTTATATGATACACGTGATGACTTTAACTTTTCTATCGTCAACTTCCCTTGCTAAAGTTTATGGTTAGGCTTTCAGTCGGTAATTGAAATATTTGTCTACTCGAAAGATATCGACCGTCAATATGGGGAATCTTTTAATTTGCAAAGAGAATTTTAAGGAAAATACTTGGAAATGTAAGTGTATATTTGACAACATCTCAATACGAAGTGTCCAGTACAGCAATCTCTGTTGCAATACCTGAAGATAAGAAAGTTCAAAAGTTAATTAATAAGAATGTATAAGGTGAAGATAACGAACAGTGATCGATCTCAAAAATGATTATAAACAAAACTGTAAAGAGGATAAACACGGACCACTGGAAAATTCAACTGTGGGATCAGGTGCCAAGGAGGATTAAGCATTCCCTGTTGACCGGTCATACTCCGTTAGCATATCAACTAATGAAGTACTGGTAGATGAAACATTCGTAGACAACTTTAGTACAAAAACAAAGGCCTAACTATTGATAGGACACAAATCAGCCAAAATACGACCTACAGGACTTGAGCGAGAAGCGTTGACTTTAACAGTTGACGAATTAATTTACACTAGGACAGTGTACGGAAGCTCTCTTGCGATATAAATATTTAGCCCAATATTTGATAAAAAAAATAAAGGGCTATTTCAAAGCACAAATAAGTCGTCCTTGAAGAAAACGAAAACTGCCCTACCCTCAAATCTAGGCCTTAACATATAAGTGCCTCTAACACCATTATTATAACCACTAGAAAGGTGTTCCTGTCTATTATCAATTCTGTACCTCCGTAGATGATACAGATTCAAATGTCCAAGTAAAGGCAACTGTAAAAGTCAGTGCTTCTCGTAAAAGTCCAATAATAGGCTATATGAAATAAGGTTTTTTATTAATTTTTATGTGATATGCTATTAAAATATATAAGTTGTAATATTTTAGAAAATTATTGAAAAATATTGACTTCAAATCTGTGTCCAAGTACCTTTAACGCACTTTGAAAAAAATATATGTATGAAAATAAAAATTCTAGACTTAGATTTAAGTAATAGAGGAAATCAAATTGTAATCATTAAATCTTTTGAAAAACTTTTTTAAATTTATATGAACTCATTTAACCTCATTGAGAACAAGGAGAAGACGAGTAAAAGGTCTCCCATCCCAACTCTTTTTTTTCTTAAACATTGTACATAGCCGTCGGTAGCAAATTGAAAGTTGACCCCACAGGTAAGCCCCAATTTTTAATGCATACATGTATATAGTATGTATATCTTTGCAAAATATTTATGTGCCTACATGTAACCCCCCTTTCCGGTACTGATGCCTATGCTACACCCAAATATATGTGTTTACATAACTGGTATGACGTTGAAAACTTTCAATAAATTTAAGTTTACATAAAATGCACGCAAACTTGAAAAAAATTAAGTACAGTAAAGCATTTAAGCGAGAAAGAATTTTCAAAGTATGGAAAAATCAAAATCGCTCACTTTCACATCCTGAAGTGACCTCTTCACAGAAGAATTATCAAACAGGTTCAATTATTTATCATGCCTAAGATTTGCAGGAATATTGACAAATCTGTACACAGTTTTTCAAAGTGCGTTAATATGGTCCATATTAACGCACTTTGAAAAGAAATTTTATTTTTTCAAAGTGAGTTGACTTGGTCCCAAAATTTAACGCACTTTGAAAAATTTTTTCAAAGTGCGTAATTTTTCAAAGTGCGTTGTAACATACGAAGAACTTCAAATGCGGTTTCGTTATCTGGAATTCTGGAGGTGGTTCTGCGTTAAATCATTTCTTTTTATTTTATTTCAGTAAAATTGGTATAACTAAAATCAAGGAATCCCTACTTAATATCGCTATAAGCAGTAAATTCAACTCAAACACAATAGCTATCGAAGTATTTTATTTATGAAAGCTTGGTATTTTACAGTTTAAAACAATTTTTACAAACTGGTTTGTAGTAATTTTACTTGTTGGTGTATAATCATGAAAATTAATATGTTCTATGCAGCGAAGCATAACAATGTATTATTTCACGTAGTGTTCGACGCGTTAATTGAATGTCCTTTGTGAAGAACCATAAAATTGTTCAACTTATGTAAATCTGCAGCATAATGGTTTATAACAGTTTTTAAAGCTGTTGCTTTTTACTGGTTTCACTTTCGATTTGAGTAAATCATTTCGATCCCGATGTGATTAGGTGGCAGAGGGTAGTTTTTGGCAATCAGAACGTTTTTCTGACGGTTTCCTGAACTTTGAGCTGCTTTTATAATGTGCATTGGAAAATTTGAAATTCTCTCTACATGTTATAATGGTATGATCTAGACCCTTGAAGAATAAAAATCTTTTAGGAATAAAACATGTAAAACTTACACAAGTGAGCATTAATGATAGCACAGCGATAATCTCAATATTTCTAAGGTATATCAAGCCTATATTCACTATTTCGCCGGATCTGCAACTGCTGGCCCGTGCTTATGACCTAAGCTACATCTCAAATTGAAGAAGAACATTTGTACATACCATTACACAGCAAGATATAATGGCTCAACTACCTCGTTTTCAAGCTACAATTAATCCTATGAAATCACCCCGATTTTCTGGTGAAATACCGGAAGTGTAATTTTTGATCTAAGTTTTGTATTTCTAGTCCATATCCCATAAACAATAGTAGATACACACTAAGGTGTAGTCTCGTTCAACCAGACACTCGACCGTCTCCGCAAATCTTTGAACAGCCAGAGAGTCTCGGAAAGAGTCACATTGGCGTTTGTTACCGTTAGAGGGCACTATCTTGTTTACATTTTGATGATCTCTTCTAGAAACGAATATTATAACTTTTCTATCGTCAACAACCCTTACTTATGCAGCAATATATCTTCATCACCTGCATACGGAGTGTATATATCTCAGTTGCCTCGATACGCAAGAGCATGCTCTACGCATGAACAATTTCTAAAACGAGATAAATTATTAACAAACAAGTTCATGGAACAAGAATATCAGCAGTCTCATTTAAAATCTTCATTTCGTAAGTTCTATGGTCGATACAATGACCTTGTCAGCAAATACAATTAATCATTGAGTCAAATGCTGACTGACGTTTTTCATACCAGTTTTTAGTTCATTATTTATACACCGAATTAACGACGGATTTTTCCGTTATTTCACAATCATGACAATGAGCACAAGGCGGGTGTCCGGTCAGCAGGGGATGTTCACTCCTCCATGGCACCTGACCCACCCTTCTCCTATTTTACATTGTTTTATGGACTTTGATATTGAATACTGTTCGTAATCTCCATATCCTTCTTCTTCGTGTTTCTTCTGCTATAATGTAAGTTTGAATTAATAAACTGATCTTTAATTTTGGACAAAACACTAGTAATTACAATATAAATCAAGAAATATTTTTTCCACAGGTAGCTTCACTACTTTCACTTTTGCTTCCGTAAAAAATGCAAGACATTTCATAAAAAAACCACTTACATATAACCGGTGAACATTACCGTAAACAATAATTTTTTTTCTCTTTAACTGCTATAGCTGTTTAGACATTTAGCTGTTAAAACTTTGTTATTTTCCTGGACAATTAGGGAAATAGTTTTTGATCTTAGCATGTCTTATGGAACAGTTCAAGAGATTTTAACGAGTAAGCTTAACATGCGGCGAGTTTGTGCGAGATGGGTCCCTCGCCTCCTTCTGCCAGAGCAAATGATTGATTGATTGATTGTATATTGTTTAACGTCCCTCTTGAGAATTTTTCACTCATATGGAGACGTCACCGATGCCGGTGACGTCCTTCAAATTTAGACCTGTACTCGGCACTCAGGGCCATTTAGCAGTGAGGGTTCTTTATCGTGCCAACGCCTACCGTGACGCGGGACCTACGTTTTTAAGGTCATATCCGAAAGACCCGTGACTTTCACTTCTAGTGCCGAGCGCTTGGCGAAGGAACAGTCACTACCTTTGTTTACGTCTTAGGTATGACGCGGCGCAGCGATCGAGAATCGAACCCGGGCCTCCCGATCACGAAGCGAACGCTCTACCACTAGGCTACGTGACGCAAATGAGGTTGAGAGTGAATGTGTGCCGGTCCTACGTTAGTAGATATGAAAAAGAACAAAATTATTTCATGAATAGAATCATCAAATATGATGAAACTTGGGTACATTTCTATGAGCCAGAAAGTAAACAAAGTTCAATTTGGAAGAATCCTTCCTCGCCACCACCAATAAAAGCACGTGTAACCAAGTCAGCAGGGAAGATTTGGCTCATAGTTTTCTGTGACATCAACGGTATAATTCTATATCACATGGTACCCACCTAAAACTTCAGTTACTGGGGACTACTATGCACGGGTTATCAAATCAGATTTGATGAGGGCAGTAAAGAGAAAGCGCCCAGATCTGATAAGATCTGGATTCATTCTGCACCATGATATCGCACCTAGCCATAAAAGTCGGGGTGTAATGGACACCATGGAAACAGTTCAAACACTGGGTATAGAAAACCTAATTCATCCCCCCTACAGCCCTGATTTGACAATTTGTGACTTCTGGCAATTTTCAGTTTTGAAAGATAAACTACGGGGAGAAAAAATATGAGTCCCGGGAAGATCTTGGTACTACTGTGAACAAGGTGCTAAGGGTCATGTCATGTGATGGCTTGGATCACGTGTTTGCGCATGGGCAGACCGATGGGAAAAGTGCATAAAAGCTAGAGGGACCCACTATTGAAAAAGAATAAACTAAAAATCTCACTCTGAAAAATATTTTAAAAATTATTCAATTAGTTTGCGAACTTTTTGATCACCCCTCGTATTTGTTTAAATTGTGGAAATGTGTTCATTTCAGCCAATAAAAAACTTAACCATGATTTTGGTCAACCTCGTGTTGGTGTTACAAACGATATAGACAACAATTTGCTATCAAAGACCTCCAATAAACACTTTTAAAAATAGTTGAATATTTGTGCAATAATATAATTATTAAATACTTTAGATATCGTTTATTTCAGATTTAAAACATACTTGTTATGATAAAAAGGAGGCACACATTCTCTATACACCTTGAATAAAGGTCTCTCCCGAGACAAAAGATGTGTGTTTAAATGGTCGCCATGCTTATTTTTGGAATGGATATTCTTATCCACCCATTTTGTTGCCAAGATATGACCATTTCTGAAAAATGAACTGTTCTTATTATAAAAATTAACTCATATGGAAAGAAATATAAAACTCATAAACTTTTTTTTTAATTTTGTGACAGAACGCTACGGAGGCGGTCACGTGACCGCCAATATCACGTGATTCACGCATGCGCAGAAAGGGTGGTTGTTGTGCATTAAGATCGGGGAGAATTAATTTAAATTATAATCAACATTGAAACCAAATATTGTTTCTTTTATGGAAGCAATACAATTAGTTCGCAAACTTTTTGATCACCCTTCGTATATGCGTTTTGAATTCTGCTTTATATGATAAAAAAGAAATAGGTCTCATAATGAAAGGACACAAATGGTATTTATGCAAATTCCGACATCATGTTAGAAGACCTTGTCTCCAAAAATTACATAGATAGTCATGCATTTTTTAAATATACTATTTAAAAACAACAAGGGTATTGGATTTACAAGGATAGTGAAATGCAGATCATGAAGTCAGGAAGGAAACAAATGACAGAAAAAACATTAAGGAAACATTTGTCAATTTATTCGAAACCATATGTACGGTGAGAAAAGGACAGATATTCCAGAATAAGGGTCGACACTAACACTGGGCCACAGAGAGCAAATTTACCACCATTTACCACCATTGTGAAACAGAGTCAGTAGCTGGTAAAAACCCTTTTGTTGGCCAAACAAGTCAGGATTTGGCAAGGCATACTCCTAACGAGACTTACGAGGTCACTTTGGGGGAAGGTTGTTCCATTCCTGTTGCAATGCTGCAGTGTGTTCTTGGACATTGGCAGGTCCAGGCATGTTCCAGAAATGCTCGATGGGGAAAAGGTCCGGACTGAGTGCGGGCCATGGTAATGTGTTGATATTCTGTTGAGAAAATCTGTAACGATCCTGGGCATAGGACATTTGACATTGTTATACCTTTAAAAATTTGTTCTTATACAAATCTTTTCGAAAAAAGTCCAACATTTCTAATGTTTTGGTGAGCAGGCAAAAAAAATCGATGTTTGACCGCTGAGTGAGATGTTGGACCGCTTACGTCATAGAATGAGTGGAGCTCAATCTCATTTTCATTCGTTGGTGTTCGAAGCAGAGCAGAATTTGTTCAAAACACTTGCTGAGACCAGCAACTCGACATTAAGATACATTGATTACGTATTGTCAATTCTCATGTCGACACGATATATCACGGTGAGCTTGAAATAAAAGATATTAAGGAATATTTACTCATCTGTTTTATATTTGGAAATTTTACTAGAAAAAAGATGTTAATGGTAATCTAACACCCAAACTCTATGATAAACATGATGACTTTAACTTTTCTATCGTCATCTCCCTTATTTATGCAGCAATATTGTGTGCGGAGTTTATATATCTCGATCAGTTGGTTCGATACGGAAGAGCATGTTCTACGTATGAACAATTTATAAAACGAGGTAAGATATTGACAAAAAAATTAATGAAGCAAGAATATCAGCAGTCTCGTTTAAAATCATTTCATAAGTTCTATGGTCGATACAATGACCTTGTCAATAATAACAATCTATCAATAATTCAAATACTGACTGTTTTTTTTATCAAACACTGATTTTTTCACCGGATTTTTTTCCCGAACATAAATTTGAATAAAGATATGACTCCATTTGAAAGATCAGGATCCCCTTATACTATCTCTGCTGATGTAAAACATTTAATAATGAGAAGTTGAGAACATTAAATAAAGATATGACTCCATTTGAAAGATCAGGATCCCCTTATTTTGGCCCTTTTAAAATAAGTTATTTAATGTTCTCATTAATAAATGTTTTACATCAGCAGAGATAACGTGTTCAGAAAGATTATAGTTGTAGGACAAAGACGAACATGAACAGTTGGAAAATTATATTTCATATTTTCGATATGGAGGACTGCTATTTTGTAATTAACATTTTTTGGAGCGATATTCGATGCTTATTTGTAAGTTGTAGTCTTCAGCCGAAAAAAAAGAACAGAAGACTCTGAGGAGATTGTTGCTCTACTGGTTTATTCTCATAACGAAGGGAGAGAAGTAGCATTTGAACTTTAATCTTTGCAATAGCAAGAAATCAAACTTTAAAAAATTATCATTGGTTTAGTTTTTTTCTTGGCAAAGATTTATTGCAATCAAATGAAATCTGTAGGACGAGTAGCATCAAAGAAATATCATTGTTTTAGTAACCATGGTAACATGGTCCAGCGAAATAAAAAAAAAACAATAAATAGATTTTTGTAATTTAGTCTAGTCTAATTGTCTGATAATTATTTTAAAATCAGACTAAAACTTTGGGAGGAGTAGCATTTTGAAAATATTTCTATTATATTGTTCACAGACGGACAGACAACTAACTAGACAGACGGACGACGGGCACCTTACTATTGCATAAGCTATTCGACTATAACAAAAAAAAAATAAAGAAGCTGAACATTACAGTAGGTTTATTATTAACTTAAGATGAGAAGAGAATTAATTGAAGGGACAAATAAATTGAATATTACTTGAAACTAGACATTAATCAATATTACAATTGTCCACTTACTAGTATTTGATATACATGTACACAATATCCATTGAAAACTGTAAAAAATGAATTCAACATATTACATACCATGAGGTATCTATATACAGTTATATATAACATTTTCAAAATATTTCAACAAAAGTTGAAGCACACTAGATGATCTAAATATATGTCTGATTTTACAATGACTCGGCCAGGTTTCAATGAGAAAATTTTGCATTAGACTAAAAAATAATGCTAAAAAATGGTGTATATACGTTAAAGTAAAATAAATGAAATAAATATCTTAGTAATTACTAGTACTTTTTATTATGTGATTTTAAAAAAAAAATATAACAAATCTTCCATCACTTTCAAAACAGACTTATTCTAAAAATTTACTTTTTTTATTCAAAGATTTATTTTTTTTAAAACAAATGCAATATTATACATCATATTAACAAGTTAATGAACAATCTTTTACAACAGTGAAAAATCACGAGAGCCAACATATACTGACGGAAGACTGATACAAACAATCTCTTACTGAAGCAATGCAAATATTAATGCTTGTAAATATTGACAAATCAAAATTTCAAGACACCCGAAAAGAGAAGGGTAGGTAAAACACTGTGTTATGGGTTATATGCTCTTATTTTCATAATATATTTATGACTTTACGGAATTACTTTTTTACCAAAGAATATCAACTCTCATGTTTATTTGATTTACTCAACACTATCTTCCTCTCAGTACATTTAAGGTATTCAAACATATCTTTGATTTTTCTAAAGTTATTCAATAGTCACCGTGCCCTCTTTAGAACCGACACACCCTTTAAGTCTAACATAGACATAAAAACTAAACCCACCATCATAATATAATCTTGTCCAGAGTCACCATTCTCTCTTTTACTGAATCGCACATTCTTCAGTACACGTAACACTGATAAATAAGTGTCACTTATTCTTAACTTACTGAACATTCGTCTTGTTTAACCTTATAAAATCATACCTCTAGTAAATCTTCATAACATCTCACCCTCATCCGCTGTTACCAGTGGAGTAAGTATCTGACAAACCTTACTGTTTGATATCAGTCTGCTCCTATAGCAGCTACTCATAAATCCACCCGATATGATGCTGTCAGCGGTAAATGACACCTATTAAGTTCATTGATACCAGTTCCTATCCCTAGAATCTCCTTCACTCCATTCCCCCTACACAAATATATCATCCATTATACGCTACTGTCTGTGGAGTATTAATGTCACTCTTATGATCGATATCAGCTCCTATAAGCTCCTTCACTTCACTGATATGTCCACATGCTGCTATCAAGTGATGTATTATACTCTTTTCTGATAGATATCTGCTCTGGCTTCTAGTAGCTCTTTCGCTACACTCGTATATCCACATTAATATGCTGCTGTCAATGGCGTTTCTGCCTTATCTTGTAGAATGTTACCTGCTCCCGCTTCTAGTAACATCTTCACTACACTCACATGTCCCCTCTCACGTGCTGCTGTCAGTGGTGTTTTATACTTACCTTTAGGATTGATATCAGCTCCGGCTTCTATAAGCTCCTTCACTACACTCATATGTCCACCATGACATGCTGCTGTCAGTGGTGTATTATACTTACCTTTAGGATTGATATCAGCTCCGGCTTCTATAAGCTCCTTCACTAAACTCATATGTCCAACCTTACATGCTGCTGTCAGTGGTGTATTATACTTACCTTTAGGATTGATATCAGCTCCGGCTTCTATAAGCTCCTTCACTAAACTCATATGTCCAACCTTACATGCTGCTGTCAGTGGTGTATTATACTTACCTTTAGGATTGATATCGGCTCCAGCTTCTATTAGCTCCTTCACTAAACTCATATGTCCACCATGACATGCTGCTGTCAGTGGTGTATTATACTTACCTTTAGGATTGATATCATCTCTGGCTTCTATAAGCTCCTTCACTACAATCATATGCCCACCCTTACATGCTGCTGTCAGTGGTGTATTATACTTACCTTTAGGATTGATATCAGCTCCGGCTTCTATAAGCTCCTTCACTATACTCATATGTCCAACTTGACTTGCTGCTGTCAATGGTGTATTATACTTACCTTTAGGATTGATATCAGCTCCGGCTTCTATAAGCTCCTTCACTACACTCATATGTCCACTCATACATGCTGCTGTCAATGGTGTATGAAACTCACCTTGTTGATTGATATCAGCTCCTGCTTTTATAAGCTCCTTCACTACACCCTTAATTGCTGCTGTCGGTGGTGTATAATTCCAACCTTGATGATTGATATCAGCTCCGGCTTCTATAAGCTCCTTCACTACACTCATATGTCCACCTCTACATGCTGCTGTCAGTGGTGTATGCAACAAACCTTGTTGATTGATATCAGCTCCAGCTTCTATAAGCTCCTTCACTAAACTCATATGTCCACCTTGACATGCTGCTGTCAGTGGTGTATAATACTTACCTTTAGGATTGATATCAGCTCCGGCTTCTATAAGCTCCTTCACTACACTCATATGTCCACCCTTACATGCTGCTGTCAGTGGTGTATAATACTCACTTTGTTGATTGATATCAGCTCTGGCTTCTATAAGCTCCTTCACTAAACTCATTTGTCCACCATAACATGCTGCTGTCAGTGGTGTATTATATCCACCTTTAGGATTGATATCAGCTCCGGCTTCTATAAGCATCTTCACTATCACTACTGAATTGAATATCCCCTTAGATTCCAAAAAATCCCCTGTTTTTACCCTGTCAGTCCCTGACATTTTCCTGTCTCTCCCTGATTTTCTCCTATGATCCCCTGTCGTTGTCCCTGCTCTCCCTATCCAGTCCCTGTCGTCCCCTGTCGTTGTCCCTGCCCTCCCTGTCTACTCCCTGTCGTCCCCTGACATTCTCTGATCTCCCTGTCCAGTCCCTGTCGTCCCCTGTCGTTGGCCCTGCCTTCCCTGTCTACTCCCTGTCGCCCCCTGACATTTATTTTGGCCAAGAAAAGGAGTTTAAAAAATATTTTTGTTGCATTTAAGAGTGAAAAATGATATAGTCTTGAAAACTTTAAGTATATTTTTAAAAAATATAGACTCAGTAAAAAGTTAACACATTTTTTAAATGCCTGAACCTAATCCCCTGTAATTTAATTTCTATTACTTGTATCAATGTGATTTTTTTGGTTCGGTAGCATTTCGGGTGGAGAACGGCAGAGAATTGCATCGATTCTAAAGAAGAAATGAATTAAAAATTTATTTCATCTTGTGATGGTAGACGGCATATACATTGTACTTTATGAACCTTTTATATATATTTATAAACTTTTTCATTTTTTATTTGATCTACTTTGAAACATCTTTGAGCGTAATAACTGTCTATGTAAAAGAACTAGATTTAAACAATTATCAAATCCATAAATGGGATATTTTGTTTTCCCAAAGAATTAAATGAATAAAAAATTAATTGAAAGGAATGAGAAATAAAATGAGACGATTATTTTGATATCCATCATGTACTTAAAATAATAAAAAAGCGTTTCAATACGCTAATAAAATACGTTGTAGCACATCTACGAATGCAAGTGTTTATATGAAATAAAACTAAAGAAATACAATTTCTTGCAGATATAAATGATTCCTTAATCTGTTGTATTTTTAATTTGAAACATATATAGATTAATATTTTATTAATAATGTTTTTTTTATTATTATTCATTTATTTTATTTTATTTATTTACTATGAGTTTATTTAGCTGCAATCTGTTTTATTCGTTAAATACTGGTTTGACTTTGTACCATTTGTCAAAAAAAAGGAAAAAAAAAAGTAAGAGACAGCAGGGGGTATTGGTGCATTTTGGAATAATTCAGTTTTTAAAATCAATACAATGAATGATTTTAAATAGTTGGTAAACAAAAAAAAAATAAAAAAAATAAAAATGACCTTATTAACTGCATGCATTTATTTATTATAAAAACAATCTTTTTTATTTTTAAAATTGACGGTACAAACAAATTAAATAATAAAATACCACAAAATGGGATTTTTTTGGCTTATTTTATGTTAAACTATTTACGTTAAAAAATGTGTCAAAGTGTTTTTGAAGCATATACTAGATCTGCTTTTAAATATTTTACTTCCATGATGGATATCAAAATAATCGTCTCATTATGCTCAATCTTTACCCATCAATATCTTCTTTGATACTTTTGTTTTGTTTTGAGTGAAAAAAAATTAAGTTCTCATACAAAGGGAAAATGTTATTTCAAACAGCTGCAAAAGTACACACGGTCGTCCTGCCACAATATAAACAAGGTATAGCGGTCAGTGAAAAAGATAATAGGTGTCGTGACTGTGTACCCCGAGTTAATTACTGGTAAACATCAATGGCTTTGATGTTGTTTTAGAACCGTGTTACGGTTTTGAAAACCGATTTTTAAATCAAAACAATGTATCAAAAGTCTAATTGACAGATTAATATTATGCATTATGAGACGATCATTTTGATACCCATCATGGACTCAAAGTAATAAAAAGTCGTTTAAATATGCCAATAAAATACTTTGTAGCATATTTCAGCAAATAATTAAATTAAAACTAATAAAACTCATTTTGGGGAAATAAATGAGTGATAAATTAAAAAATACAGAAATAAATGAATAACTTTATATAATTCTCATTATTTATTTCTTTATTTTTTTATTCATTCATTCTTTCATTTATTGATTAATTTATTAATTTATTTATTTATCAATTTATTAATTTATAGATTCATTCATTCTTAATTCAGCCGATTTGTAGATTTATTCACATAAGAAAATAAATGAATATAATAGATTTTTACTTCAATCTAATAATTTTTATTTTTTTACTAAAAAATTATTTTATTAATGCATTTATATATCATTCCTTTCAATTATTTTTTTATTCATTTAATTCTTTGGGAAAACAAAATATCCCATGCATGGATTTGATAATGTATTCCGAATTGTTTAAATCTTTTTCTTTTACAATGACAGTTATTACGCTCAAAAATGTTTCAAATTAGATCAAATAAAAAAGAGTTTATAAGTATATATATAAAAGGTTCATAAAGTACAATGTGTATGCCGTCTACCATCACAAGATGAAATAAATTTGTAATTCATTTCTTCTTTAGAATCGATGCAATTCTATGCCGTTCTTCACCCGAAATGCTACCGAACCAAAAAAAATCACATTGATACAAGTAATAGAAACTAAATAACAGGGGATTAAGTTAATGCATTTAAAAATGTGTAAACTTTTTTACTTAGTCTATATTTAAAAAAATATATACTTAAAGTTTACAAGACTATATCATTTTTCACTCTTAAATGCAACAAAAATATTTTTAAACTCCTTTTCCTGGCCAAAATAAATGTCAGGGGAAGACAGGGAGTAGACAGGGTAGGCAGGGACATCGACAGGGGACGACAGGGACTGGACAGGAAGAGCAGGGACAACGACAGGGGATCATAGGAGAAAGTTAGGGAAAGACAGGAAAATGTCTGGGACTGACAGGGGGACAACAGGGGATTTCTTGGAATCTAAGGGGATATTCAATTCAGTAGTGTATACTCATATGTCCACCCTCACATGCTGCTGTCAGTGGTATATTATACCCACCTTTAGGATTGATATCAGCTCCGGCTTCTATAAGCTCCTTCACTACACTCATATGTCCACCCTCACATGCTGCTGTCAGTGGTATATTATACCCACCTTTAGAATTGATATCAGCTCCGGCTTCTATAAGCTCCTTCACTACACTCATATGTCCACTACCACATGCTGCTGTCAGTGGTGTATCACGAAATAAATATTTCTCATTTGTGTTTGTTTGTTTTAAATCGATATACTTAATTAATATTTTTACAGTCTCTAAATCTTCACTGTAACAACTCAATACAAATAAGCGGTCATGTTCGGGAATAGACTGACTGTTTTTCTGTTTTTGATTTCTTGTATCAG